AAAAAAAAAAAAAAAAAAAAAAATCACAAAACACAAGGAATGAAACACAGAGAATAAACTGGCTGCAGATGCCGGGCCAGCTCTCTCGGGCCCTCTTCTTCGTCTCCAATGGAAGACTGCAAGGTGACTTTCTCCAGGGCCTTCTCCTCTGTCGGTCTCCCCTCCCCCGTGGCAAGGCCCCCGGCCTTTGGCAGCGTGTAACTAAATACTAGGGAGTAGACACCAGGGCCACTTTCTGTCCAAGGAACCTCAGAGAGCCCCAGTTCTAGTCTCCTGGGTGTCTCCAGGTGCTCCATTATCTTCAGCCCAAATCTCTGTCCCGCCCACAAGCCCAGGAGGCCCAGGTGAGCCTCCCTTTCCTGTAGGGCAGCACACTCCCTGGGAGCTCCTCCAGCCAGGCTGGTCTTCTTGGCACCTTAGCCAACCCCACCCTGCTGCTACCCTGTTAATATTCTCAGGCGAGCACAGTCTAGATCTACCGAGGCCATAAGACTGCCAGGGAAAGAAGAGAAGCAGAGCTGCCAGAAGGCAAGTCTGGGTCCACACAAAGAGAGTTCCGATACGCTTTGGGGGAAGGCTCCTAAGGAGTTCAAACTGGCCTTGAACTCACTAGGTAGCCCAGGCTGGCTGATCCTCCTGCCTCAGCCTCCCACATGCTGGGACTACAGGCTTGTGTTGCCATGCCTAGCTCCAATGCATCTTGTAGCCTACAGTGTGAATTAGCTGAGAGGCGGAAAGGGAAAAGAAACGGAGGAGAAGTTCCACTGTCCACCTCGGGAGAAAGGGGAACCAGAAATGAAACAGGGCCAGGGAATGGGGGATTGTGTTTCCGGCACAACTTCCGGCACTTCTTTCAGAGAAGACGGGTGTCAGTTCAGCTCTGTCCTGTTTGGCCTTGCAGTCAACTGCTTTCTTAGCAGAAAGAAAGGAAAAAAAAAAATCCCTGGACTAATTGCATAATACCCAGGGACAGGCAGAAATGAAAACCATGGAGAGCTGTGGTCAGCATTTCCAGTCCAGTTTCATTTCTGCAAAGCAGGAGAAGTTGCTCCTGTACCTCCCCACTGACCGGCACAGTGTATCCCCGCGTCATCCGCGGACCTCCACCTTCCACGGCTCTCTTCCAAACGAGGAGGGCAGAGTGACCAAGCCGAGGAGCCCCACAAGAGCACTTCCTCAGGCGGGGTCCACGCCGATCAGGGGACACCTCCTACAGCAAGGCCTCGGACCATAGCACTGCGGCTTCTGACAGCACAGTCCCAGCACAGTACTGAGGGTGTCAGGACCACGCCCCACAGGCGTGGACTCGAGGACACCCACTTTCGAGAGGCACTAAAGTTACGTTCCTTTGCCCTCCCCCCAAAATGAAAGAAAACCAGACCAGGAGGTCAAAGAGACACATTAGCATAATTTAATGCATTCAATTCACCATACAAAGAATATGCCACAGAAACAAAATACAAGAACTTGAAGGGACACGGAGACGATCTGGCCAACACTTTAATTTCACAAACAAGGCGTCTGCCCAAAGTCCCAGGACACCATTTCGCACAAAGCCAGAGAGGGAGCCCAGTCCTGACCCACAGAAACACAGACTTCTGGCTTCCGGTCGTCAGCCAATTGGTTCAGCCGAAGACGGAGCCCACATTCACCGCTGCTTCCTATAGCGCCACACTCCGATGCCTGCATACTTCTTAAGGCTGAAGACAACAGGAGGAGCTGCAGGCTACTCAGAGCCATGCTAAAGACCAATCTGGCATCCAGGTGCCGTGCACACGCCTGGTATCCCAGCTTCCGGAGAGGCTGAGGAAGGAGGGTCAAGAGTTCAAGGCCAGCCTGGACAATGCTGCAAGATGCTGTTTCAAAAAGATTAAAATAAAATAAAATAAAAAGACCAACTATGGAGGAGAGGGATGGAGAGGATTTAGTTAGGAGAACATACCCATTCCCTACAGAGTCCTGATCACTGTGTTCCCCAAACAATGCACACCTAGAGCCCAACGCCTCAAAGAAAGTGTCCTCGCCTTCCCAAGGTGCAGGGTCTGGAGGAAGGGCAGGCCAGGGGTTGGAAGGAAGACAGCAGATCTATCACAACGTCATCTGATAGAAAAAGGGATGTTTTTCCCCGATGGAAATGTTTTTCTCAGTTTCCAGCAAATCTATGTACCACAAGAAAAGACCGTCAAACTCTGGTATGAAACAGATTATGAGATATAAGCAAAAACACCAATAACTTAGCAAAATAAATACAATGGAAGTTTTGCTGGGAGTGATGTGCTCCCTAATAACATAGCTTTACAGTCTGGGTCAGATGACTGAGGTGCGCCTTGCGGGGCACTTTAGGGGGAGCCCTAGGAGATTGTGGGACTTTTCACAGCAGAGAGAAGTCACACCTAACTGTCCACAGCTGCAGAGAATCGGCCTGCTAAAAGCTACACCCGAACACACACTCCCTGTCCCGGGAAGACAAGGCTCTAAGTTGGCTTAGTGTCCTGGCTCTGGCCAGGCCTGGCCAGGCCACCCCGCTGACCGTCAGCACGGCCAAGGGGGAGCGGGCTGCTGAGAGCCGAGCTGTTTGCAGAAGGAATTCCACACCCAGGACACACGCCAGCCAACCCCTCCGGACATCGGTGCCGCCTCTCGGGCTGAGACAGATCTTGACCCTTCTCCCGACCACACGAGGGCCTGGCTTCTGGGACAGCTGGATTCCAGTAGACAACAGAGGAAGGCTCTGCTACACAGAAAACGTGACTATGGGAAGGAGACAGTGCCCAGTCCCGAAGGGCTGCAGTGTCCAGACGAGGCGCTCATGCTCCGTCTGCCCAGCAAACAGAGGACAGGAGCGAGGGACTGGCGGGACACACAAGTGCCCCAGCCCTAGGCGCAGCCAGGGAGCCATCCGGAGTGAAAGTCAGGGTTGACGTCCCGCGGTGGTGGGCTTCTCACAGGCGGGAGGCGGCAGCACCAGCCGTGTCCATGTGCTTGGCCGGCTCCTCGTGCTCAGGTCTCCACCACTCGGATGAGAGGCATGGGCCTGGGGCTGGGGGGCTTGGATATCCTGACACTGAAAGCAAAACCGGAAACACTGAGGCTTTTTGGCGCACACACTTTGGGAAGCCTCCCCGCTCCTCTGCCTCCAAAACCCCACCCTGCAGGGCAGGCTGATGTCTTAGCGTTCCAAGGCTTTGAAACAGGAACAATTCCGTAACGTTTAAGAGGGGATCTGGGGCCGATCCATCTGAGAAGCAGGAGGAGCTGAGTTTAGATTGAGTTTGGATCCCCCCCTTTTTTTGGTACTGGGGATCGAACTCAGGACCTTGCACTTGTGAGGCAGGCGGAGGCACCAGAGCTAAATCCCCAGCCTGAGTTTGGACCCTTTTGTGAATCTACTGGGAAAAAGAGACCTTTTCTAGGAATATTCACATATTACACATATCTATTTATAGCATGAAAATATTACAAATAAGTTCTGCATGCAATGCAGAGGGCTCGTACACCACACGGTCCAGGTCCAGTCCTGGTTTTAAACAGGCTAGAAAATGGTTCCAGTGGGGAATGGGTCAGCAGAGACGGACAGGAAAGCCGGAACTCAGAGGGCCTTGTCCTTGCCTTCGCTCCTTCCTGCTGCCCTGCTGGGCCCTCCACACACACACACACACACACACACACACACACACACGTACTCACCTGCCCAGGTTCTCTGTCTTGGCCTGGGTCTGAGTGCTGAAGTGGCCGTAACGGATCTGTTTCTCTATCAGGTGCTCCATCCGGTCATGCATCTCCAAATTCTGTCACAGACCACGGGGCACATTTATTCAGCTCTCCTGGTCTCTCCTCCACATACCACTGCCTAGGAGCTTTCCAGCCCCATCCTCGGCACTACAGACTGCTCTCTTCTAACTCTATGCGATACGAATGTTTGCCACACTGCTGCTTTTTTGGGGGAGAAGGAGGGGTACCAGGGATCAAACTCAGGACCTTGCACTCGCCCAGAAGGTGCTGGGCCACACTGAGCTAAATTCTCAGCGCCCCCCATCCCTTTTATATGCATTTCTGTACATAGTTTCTTTGGGGGGGGTACCAGGGGCGAGGCAGGGGCGCAGAACCACTGAGCTAAATCCCCGGCCCTATGGTTCCTTATTGTCCTTGAGATATCCGTTTGCCTCTGTTGCTACACTACCCATTAAATACGGCCCTTCGTTTTTCTTTTTCTTTTTCTTTTTGGCATCTGGACTGAATCCAGAGCTACATCCCCAGCCCTTGCGTTAGAGTTTTAGTTTGAGGCAGGGTCTTGCTAAATTGCTAAAATGCTAAGTGCGTGATCCTCCTGCCTCAGCCTACGGGAGTGCTAAGATTACAGGCATGCACCACCACCCCCAGCTTGGGCTGTGTGTCTTATCTCTAGCTCCAAACTACATAATCTCTAAAGATAAACCACACTGCCTCCCATTGTCTCCCCACTACAGGGATCCTCGCACAGGGGCTGCAAAATGATCTTCAGGTCATCAGGGGACAGGGAGGGCTCTGTGGCGAAATGGAATCCTTGCCACGTGAAAGACTCCAACTACAAAAACCTTCCTCCTTCCAAACCCGGTCCACTGTCAGCTCCCCCGTAAAGCCCGGAGGTTCCGAATATGCCACGGCAGGTGGCTTGTACTCATGAAAATGTGTCCTAAACCCAACCGTCCCCCGAGCACCCAGTGAAGATTCTCTCCTCTAAGCAGGTGCTAGGCAGGCCCAAGACGTCCTCCTTTATCTCCCTCCCTACATCCGGTCTTCTCCTGCAGAGCCCTGTTCCCAGCCTGGCAGCCCGGCTCACACACCTCTGCCTCCAGGTAGGCGATCTTCTCCTTGAGCTCCTGGATGGTGGCATCCTTGGTCTGGATCACAGCTTTCGAATTCTGGAGCTGCAAAGACAGAGGACATGCGGGAGCTTTACTTCTCAGTGCCTCATTACAGATGTTCGCCCAACTTAACCCCGCCGCTGCGGGAACCACCAGGGATGAAAGGCCAGGCACCAGCTGGGCATGGAGGTGCACAACTGTAATCCCGCACTCGAACCAGCCTGGGCAATTTAGCAACTCAGCGAGACCCAATCTCAAAATAAAACACGTTCTAAAAGGGCTGGGGATGTAGCTCAGTGTTAAGGCCCTGGGTTCACTCCCTAGTACTAAAAAAAATTTATTTAAAGCTTATAATATAGAAGGTCCTACTAAAAATATGTTCTGAGAAACAGCAGTAAGCAACATTAACACAAATGGGGCTGATGTTTAGAATTGGGGGAGGTCTTCAATTCTCCAAATTGGTGCATCCTGAATGCGTGACCCTGAAGTAGGCAGGGCAGGCAGGAAACTTTGCCATGAAGTAAAAAGACTGATGAATGCACTGTGCTTGCCTCACAAGAACAAGGTCCTGAGTTCAATCTTGGGTACCAAAAATTAAAAAGACAGATGGGTAATCTACACACAGATAACTGAGTCTGTTATGATTCAGTTATTCATTTACCAGTACTCTTCAGGGTATGAGGGAAATTAACCCTTTCCTGTTTATTTATTAATTTTGGGACCAGGGATTGAACTCGGGACCTTGCACTTGAGAGGTCCTTGTTTTTAATTAGAAAGCAGAAGCCTAAGCTGGATGTGGTGGCACACGCCCGGGATCCCAGCACTCAGGGAGGCTGAGGCAGGAGGACTGCAGTGAGTTTGAGGCCAGCCTCGGTTACATAGTGAGAGTTCAAGGCCAGCCTGAATTGCATAGCAAGACTCTGTCTCAAAAAAAAAAAGGGCAGAAGACATAGTCAAAAAGTAGAGGAAAGACAGATGAAAAGCAAATCCCCATAACCCCAACCCCAGTAACCGGAAGCGATACAATGCTTTCTGTGACACACACGACCAGAAGCCAAGCTGCCTAGGAGGACAGATAAGCCAGCTCATGGCCTTGGGGTCACCGTCTGGGGCTGGCACTCACCTGCTCTATCATCTGCCGGACTTTCCGCTGCTGGCTCTTGAGCATGTCATACAGGTGGTGGATCTTCTCACGCAGCCCGGCCACTTCCTTCTCCAGGGCAGCAGCCCTGGGGATAAAGACCAGAAGCTGGAGCAAAGGAAGAAGACCCTTCTCCACCTCATCACGGAACAGCCCGGACTTGGGAGGGTCCCCCAAGTGTGACAGCCTCCACCCGACCCCCCGGCAGTGTGCCTACGGGACCCTGAGACCATCGCACTGCAAGCACCAGCAGTTACCCCCAGTGCAGACGAGGAAAGCATGGGGGAGAAGCCCTCCTGAAAGGCTGGAAGGCGGAAGTCACTCTGGATGAGTCTAAGGATAAAACTGGAAAAACAGGTAGGCATTTCAGGGAGGCATTTTTGCATTAGGGCAGGAAAACTCAGGATCACTGCTGTCAGAGTCAGCTGCTTCACATGTAATGAGCTTCTCTTACTCGGAAGATGCAAGTAGGAAATGGGATTGTTATATCCAAAATCATCAAGCTGTTGGTGAGGATTTTATAATCCGAAGGAAATATCCTTCTTCATACAATTCTGTTCCTAAGATTCCTGCTTCCTAAACCACTGTTGCTTCCTTTGCATCCTAAGCAAACTGAGCCAGAAGAAAATATATATTTGGTCTCTGTCCCTGGGTCCTGACACAACCCTTGTAAATTCCTAAGTGTAGGGGTGACAGAGGCAGGTTTTGTTGTAATATTTCGTCTTGGTTTACAATTTCTGGCAAGGACTTCCATTACAGCAAATTATTACAGCTGAGGAGGCGACTGTGGGAACTCCCACATACGTAGCCAACTGAGAAAATCGTGGGCGCCCTTGGAGCCGCCAACTGCAGCTGGCATCTGGAGGGGATGGATCCCTAGGAATAACGGGTCTTCTGTGTGCTGAGGAGGTGGACAGGGTCTATAGATGGTCCCAGGAGTGGGGTAACGGCCGGGAAGACCAAGGCGTCGTGAAAGGGTTGGCAATTTCAGCCCCATCCCCAGACTCTGGGAAGGAGACAGGGGTTGGCAGTCAGCAAAATGGGTTAGTCACCAACGGCCAGTGATTTAATTCAGTCATGGCTACAAAATGGAATGGCCACTAAAAATCCTAAATACAGTGGACCCCCGACTTACAAACTCAATTCGTTTTAACTCAAGCTGATTAGGTTTCTCTACACAGCCTTCAAAGTCTCTCTCCTGTGTAATTTTAGGCCACACTTTCTTCCAGGCAGATCTCAGTGTCCTCACAGAGACACTGGCCCAGTGTTTCTCAGTGAACCCCACACAGGAAAAGATGCTGTGATGTTCCTTCCAGAGCTCTGCAAGGGTTCAATCTGTGTCCGAGACCATCTGGAAGCAAAGCGGCTGGCATTTGGGTTGTAACCCAAGACTTTGCTTGTAAGTTAAAAACTAAAATTCCAGTCGTAACCCACGTTGTTCGTAGGCCAGGCTGGTCATAACTCGAGGGCCCACTCTAAGGGGTTCGGACAGCTCCTTGGTTGGTGAACACAGCCATGAGCTGTGAGGGTGGCACAGCCCAACTTCACGGAGACAGCAGCTCCTGCACCCTTCTGGACCTTGCCTCGTACCCCTCTTCATCTGCCTGTCCACTTGCATCCCTTATAATAAACAAGGAATAACAGTAAAGTGTTTCCTGGGCTCTGTGAGCTGTTACAGCCATTTATCAAACCTGAGGAAGCAATCATGGGATCCCCAATTTGTAGCCACGTAGGAGAAAAGTGCGGGTACCCTTGGGTCCACTAACTGACTGGCATCTAAACTGGGGGTACCCTTATGGAACTGCACCTTCGATTTCTGGGGCTGCACCAGCTCTAGGTAGTGGCAGTCAGCCTCAGAATTAAAGGAAACTGTGGGACGCTAGCTCATGTGAGGGAACCAAAGAATTGCTCGGTGTGGAAACCACGTGCCAGGTGTCACAAGTGCTGCAAAGAGAGGGGACGGTCTCCCTTCGGTCAGGCCACTCAGAGCGTGGCCAGGGGTTCAGACCCGAGAGCCGCCGTGCCCGCTACCGCCCAGCCCGGCCTGAGGATGAGGACCCCCGGGGTCGGTGTGGGACAGTGCGTTCTGAGCCACCCCGCACGTGTCCTAAACTTCCAACACGGAGTTCCCACCCTCGGCTCTCCAGTGCCCTACTTCTCAGTCCCTTCATATTTAGGAAATCAGCCTGGAGGACACAGAGCTATCGCCGGCTGGGATTATGGAGCCCGTTCTGCTTCTCTTGTTCCTCTTCCTCCTCCTTCCCTTGCCCCCACGACCACCTCTGACACAGAGAAGGGGAGCACTGAACAGTCAGCCCTCAGCACCAAGGGGGACTGGTTCCTGGGCCCCCGGGAACGCTCAAGTCTGTGCAGAAACGGTGGACTTGCGTACAGCTTGTGTATGTCCTCACGTATGTCCTAAAACACCCTAGATTACTTATAATACCTAAAACAATGTAGACCAGGTACTACATACTTGTTATATTGCACTGTTTAGGAAACAATGACCAGAAAATTAAAATTTATACATGTTTCAGTACAGATGCTTTGTGGGGTGCAGATGGGGGTACTGGGGATTGAACCCAAAGCTCTTGCACTAAGCTACATGTCCTGACCTTTTTATTTTGGGATGAAGTAGCATTAAATTACTCAGTTCCCCAAGCTGGGCTTGAATTTGCGAACATCCTGCCTCAGCCTCCCAGAGTGCTGGGATTATAGGCACACATCCCCATGTTTAGGCAGATGCAGGTCCCCCTCCCCCGGGACACTTTCAGTCCCTGGCTGGTTGAATCTGCAGATGTGGAATCCACAGATACAGAGGGCCAACTGTAATTTACAGTAATTCTGATACGAAGTCGAATAAGAAAGGAGGCTATAAGAAAATGCCTGCATTTTCCATGCCAGGAAGGCCAAATCTAGGTTATCCTAAAGCAGAGAAAATAGCCCTGAAGACTGGATTTCTGACTGTGTCTGTCAATTTTAGAATTCTTTAGACAACCCTTCAGGTAAAGTTTATTGAACCAAAACAATGTTCAGCTTAGAAAATGCTGACAGTAGAATTAGAGACCTTGTTTATTTTTTTATTTTTTTATTTTTTTTATTTTTTTTTTGAGACAGGGTCTCACTATGTAGTTGAGACTGACCTGGAACTCACTGTGTAGCCCAGGATGGTCTCGAACTCAACGATCCTCCTGCCTCAGCCTCCTGAGTGCTGGGATTACAGGCGTGCGCCACCATGCCCAGCATGAGATCTTGCTTATTAATTGCCAATGGCATAAAGAATTTCTTAAAGACCCACAAGGCAGTCTTTACTATGTAGGTTTCCCTGGTCTGGAGCTCCTGGTCCTGCTGTGCTCAGAGGGGATTTGTAAGGCTGGAAGAGCTTGGCGAGCCTCTAAATGCTACCACAGAGAGGGGCTCAGCGTCTACCTGGGTTGTAACAGGAAGTGATCGCGGAGCTGCTCTCTTTCATCAGCACAACTGGAAAGGAAGCTCCTTGACCCTCGAGGCGCTTGCAGTGGGTTTCTGCTTTAAGGGCAGGACACCGTGGGGTGACACGTCCAGTGGGATCAGCAGGTGCTTTACCCGCTTTCCCTTGACCTTGGCTCTAAAACCATAAAACTTTTTCTGAGGGTTATGGCCCCATGGAAAAATGAGCTCCGAGCAGACGGCAGCCTGGGTGGGGACCCACCCTGAGCAAGCATGTTGTGAGTCACGGCTGGAAGATCCGACGTCAGCACCAACTTTCTCCCCAGGCCTGGCTGCCATGGGAGCTGCAGGCTGCACAGCCCGCCCTGTCCTCCCTGCACCCCAACTTCAGCTTGAACAAAGGCCCTTACTTTTCTCGCTCAGCTTGGCAGTCAGCGCTCTTGCTCCGGAGCTCCTCCAGGGCCGTCTCCCCCTGTCTGACCTTCTCCAGCAGGGCTTGATGCTCCTGCGGGGACAGAGGAAAGGACACCGAGGGTGAGCAGACAGCAAGAGCTTCAGTGTGCGGGGTGAGCTGGGCTCCAAGGCTGGAGCTCGGCCCCTACCAGGCCTGGGACAGCTGCCAAAGAGCGGCAGGCTGAGCTGGTTTGATGGGGCGCCCTCCCCTTTCGGGATAACCCTGCCCACCCTCAGCACACAGAAACTTCGCAGCCTCACCCAGCTGCCCAGAGCGCAGCAAGAGCCTGGCCTGGCATTGTGCAAGCCCCCTGCCAGCTCGGCTGCCAGGCCCAGGGAAACCGGGCAGAGTGGCTTCTACAGACAGCCTCCGAGAGCCCAAAAGGCCTCTGTGTGAGAACCGGGACACAGAGGAATGGGTCCAACCCTAGACAGGGGAAACTGACGCTGGGTAATGGGAGGACCCTTCCGTCCCTTAAAGCCCAGAGGGTGTTCAAAAGGATGTGTCAAAGCGTGAAGTGTGCTCTTTTGGGAAAGGAGGCCCCACTGTCACCATCAATCCACAGCCCCTTCCGGACCCCAAGCCAAGGCCCTGAAGCAATGTGGGGGCCTCCGACCCTACCGTCTCCATGCCCCGCAGGCGCCTCTGCAGCTCCCCGACTTCTGCCTCCTTCTGCCCCACTCGGTCCTCCTCTCTCTGAAGGGCCACATTACTCTGTTCCGTTTCCTGCTGGTAGCGGCTCAGTGTGACCTGCGTGACACAGGGTGGGCACGTTTCCAGAGGAGGGAGGAAAGCATGCACGGTGGCACCTGGACTCCACAGGCAGCTCTTTCGGGCGGCCGGCCTCGTCGGCGTCTCTGGGAACCTCACCGGGCACCATGGCTTCCCTGTGAGCCCAAAAGCCAGTGACCCACGGAGGGCAGCTCCGTGCGCTCTGCTTCCCAACCCGTCAGGCACCATTTCAGGGTCTCCGCCCAGAGGACAACACAGCACCGGGGAGGGTGCTAAGGACCAGGCAGAATCTGCCGGCTATCACACGGGAAAAACCAATTTGGAAGGACAGAAGCAGAGCTCTATCTGCTTTTTGTGGCATTGGGGATTGAACCGGGGGCCTTGCGCATTGCTGAGCAAGTGCTCTACCACTGAGCTACATCCCCAGCCAAGGCGCAGTGGCAGAATGCTGGAAGACAGAGTAGTTTCCTCCCACCTGAGGCTCCCAAGTCCTACTCAGTCTCCACGTTGCTCTTAGACATCCCTTCCGCCGGGGAGCCTTCAGGGGCCGGCTCCCGGGAAGGAGTCCCGCAGGACACTGCCCTTCTTTCTGGGGCACTCGGCACAGGGCGCCCAGGCTCCGAGTGCACAACTGAGCCGAAGCTCATGACGGCACAGACTCAAGCTCTCCACATGTCTGGCGTTTCCAGGGCCCCTCGCGCTCAGCAACTGTCCAGTAGGTCGGGAATGAAACTGACGTTCATTCAGGCCAATCCCCTCCTTTCCCTAAGAGTCTGCCTGAGCTCTTCGTAACAGGGAACGGCGCTGCCAATGCTACGCTCCCCAGGTACCCGTGAGGGCTCTGCATTATTTGGTAAAGGAGTCCAGGTGATCTCTGGAACCTGTGCTCCCTGGGAAGCAAATGCCAGTAGCCCATGCCTGGGTCCTCCCGGCATCTGGATGAGGGAGGAGGGAACAGAGCACAGCACAGCAGGGGAAGGGACAAGTCCTCGCTCCACAGCAGCCCCGTCCAGGGCAAAGCCACCCCAAAGCCCACCTGAAAGCAGCCAGAACAAGAAACCCAAGCTCAATGCAGGTTATCTTCACAATAACTGATGATCTTGCTTCTCCTACTCCCAGGTTCAGAAAAGTGGACCAGAAAGCCCAACTCACTAGGAAAGCTTGAGAAACACCCTCGAATGAGCCCTATTAGCTGAGCATAGTGGCACACGCTAGGAGGCTGAGACAGGAAGATCCCTGGAATTTGAGGCTACCCTAGGCTAGAGAATGAGTTTAAGGGCAGCCTGTAATATCTAGTGAGACTCGGTCAAAAAAAAAAAAAGGAAAATAATAACCTATATTATCTCCAAATAGGCCAACTCCATGGGTCAGAAACTTAAAAGCAAAGGCCTCTCATCTCAGCACAGAAAAATGACATCCAGGCTGACTGTGCCTGGTGCATGCTGTTACCGGGGCCACAGCCCAACCTGGAAACTCCCACAGAGAATCACAAAGGTACAAGACAGGAAAGAAAAGGTACAGATTCCCTTTCCAGACCTGTAGGTCCAGCCAAACATGCCCCAAATCAACCTCTCAATTCTCAGAGGGTGAGCCAAGCACACCCAAAAGTGCCAACACAGGGTTAAAGCTGTCCACTTGTAATCCCAGCTACTTGGGAGGCTGAGGCAGGAGGATTGAAAGTTCAAGGACAGCCTGGGCAACTTAGTGAGACTGTGTCTCAAAGTAAGAATTTAAAAGGCTGGGGGTATAGCTCAGGGACAAAGCAAGTGCAAAGCCCTGGGTTCAAGTCCAGTTTTGGGCAAAAGAGAGGGACAAAGAGAAGGACCCTTTGACCCTGGCCAGCTGACAGCAGCCATCAGGACACTGGCTCTGGAGCAGCAGGTGCCTTCCTTGCTCCCCAGATCCCAGCATGGGAAAAAGGGCACAATGTTACCATAATGTATTTATGACATGAAAATGCTTTATCTGTAGATGAACTATAGCAGGTAACAGATGGTTCATCTCACAGAGTAACTACCACTGGGTAGTTATCTTGTTTCACATTCAAAGAATTTTCTAGGAAGTATGGAAGGCCTCATGTACTCTTGATAGAAGGGGGCTTTCACTCTCTATTTGTAGACTTCTGTATCTTTTTTAACTCTTCTATAATAACATAGCATTACTTTTTTTAAAAAAATGAACTGTAAGCCAGAAGCAATCTCCTCCTCTGCACTTAGGAGGCTGAGGCAGGAGCATCGTGAAATAGAGACCTGCCTGGGCTACAGGGTGAGTTCAAGGCTGATCTAGAATACACAGAAAGACCCTGAGGCAGGAGCATCACAAATTGGGGCAAGTTAGCAAGACCCCATCTCAAACAAAGAAGGAAGGAAGGAAGGAGGGGTTTAGGGATACAGGTGAGTGCAAAGGCCTTGGGTTCAACCCCTAGTACCAGAAAAACAAAACGAAAACTGTAAGAATAATTAAAGTACTTGCTCAAGATCACAAAGCCCTCTGATTGCAGCACAGACACCATTCTATGCCGACGAATCTCTATCCACCCCCTCGGTTCACATTTAGGAAACACCCACCTCGTGCCAGGCATCCGGCCAGATCCTGGAGACTCAGTGGCACCACAAAAGCAACAGTGCTGGCCTCAAAGAGCCTCGGAGCCCAGTGGTTCCCATCGCGAAGCGCACAGAAAGGACTTCCTGCGTGTGTGCATGTGCCGGGACCAACGCCGAGGCCTCGAGCGTGCTGGGCAAGTGCTCCACCACTGAGCAACAGCTTGAGCCCCGGAGTGACTTCCAGGTTCCCTGCTGTCCCAGACCAGGACGACTGCACCACTTCAGCAGAGAGAGGCAAGACAGCATCTCTGAACCACGACAGCCAGACTAGGAAGGCGACTGCTCTAAATGCCCAGAAGGACAAGCAGACAGGAGGGGCCTCAGCCTCAAAGCATTGCCTTTCCTATTAGTGGGACTCAGCCAGAAAAGCAGAAGTCCACGCAGAGAAAGTCACTGGCGCCTGTATCCAGTAGCCCATCCCTTAGGGCACCTTGTCCCCAAATCCCAAATCTCACCTCAAAAGCCGCACGGTCCGACTGGTGCCGTCGCTCGGCCTCCTGAAGCTTGGCAAGCAGGTCCCACACCGTTTTTCTCAAGCTCTCAACGTCGTCATGGATAAAGGTCTCTACCTATAACCACGCGAGATGGGGAAGGTAAAGCTACTGGGATTCCGGCTCAGTAAGAGAAAGCCCCCTCCTGCCACACGCCGGTCTGGATCATCTGTGGGAGCGGGACAGACTCAGGGGAGGATGGCCATCCCACGAGCGAGTTGGTCTTACGCAGCGCTTCTCATGAAAATATTCTCCCTTCATACCCTGAAGAACTCAGCAAGCCTTACATCATCACCCAGTTTGTTTGAAAGACAATCAGTCACTCTGGACACATAGCAATGGGCTGATTCCTCACCGGGGATACACGCGAGTCTCTGTGTAAATGTTCTGCTCCCCGCCATCAGACGAGAGCGGTCTCAGGGCAGGAGCCGTGTTCTCCTTCGGGCTTGCCTTCCACCACGCCACGGACTATGCCACTCACATCATGGAAAGTGGCCCCAAGGCTCACCCCCAGCCCTGGCGGAGGGCGCTGCAGTTCCCAGCTTCCTGACAGCCTGACAGAAAATTGCTCCCTGTCTCCCACAGGGGAAGCAGCAACATGTTCACCCTCGCTGGCAGAGGGGAGGCGGGAGACAGCTCCCCGGTCTGTGTGACTGGGTCCTGCGGGCCTGCATTTCTCTATCTGTGGAGCGGGCAGAACTCTCCTCGCCACACCCTGCCTGACAGGCTGCCTCAAAAGTAGGGAAGATAACATCCGGTAGGGCTTTGAGAAGAAAGAAGCTGACAGATATTACCCAGGTTATAAGTTGTTGCCAACAATATATTTGCCAAATATGGTAATTCAGGGGAAAGGAAAATCCAAACTGCATGTCTAAGGCCAGTGGTAAGAATCACAACATTTAAAATCTAGACAGCCATCAAGTTATCTTGTCAGTTCCCCTATATTCTCTCCAAGTGGCCAGGCAAGTGAAAATGCTTAAAAGGCTCCTAGAACATATCTACGACACAAGGATTTGAAATAGTGTTCTCATAAGACTACTGAATGACATGGAAATTTTCAGGAAGCTGTTCCAGCACGTGACACAATATGAAGCCAAAACAAGTGAGTAATAAAACTTTACTTGTATGAGGGAGAAATAACAAACTAGATTTTTGTTTGTTTTGGTACTGGGGATAGAACTCGGGTCCTTGCGCTTGTGAAGCAGGCACTGGCACTACTGAGCTAAACACCCGGCCCCAACAAACTAGATTTTAATACAGCAACATAAATGGATCCTAAGAACACGGTGTTAGGTAAAAAAAGAAGGAAAAAAAAAACAGGGAAAGAACATAGGCTAAGTCCACCAAAGGAACTGCCAACATTCACAGCCATATTCCAAGTCACAGGCTGAATACAGAAGAGTGCATGGGGAGGAGGAAAAAGAGGAGAACTCGGGAGAGGTCCATGTGGGACCCGCAAAGCCAGTGCACCCCATAGAAGGTGGGGTGACTCAACTCCGCGCTCCAGGGCCAGACACCTAATCCACAATGTGCCCTCTGGCTGGGCGTGGATCGCAGCAGTCTCAGGGCCTGTGTTAGCAAGTTCAATTACCGACACCGAAAAAATAAAACAAAATCCAACCAAGCAAAAGACAAACACCAATAAATATGACATATGGTAAGGATCCTATAAATATGTATTTGCACTGCAGAAAAAGACAATCTCACTGAACTATGGCTTTTCCCTCTGGAGAGATTCATCTGTTTTTCTGACCTCCCCCCTAATTTTTACAATAAGCATTTCTTATATAATCACAAAAAACATAACAAACACCATGTCTAGAAAACTATAGCCACGGGGGCTGGGAAGAGTGCTTGCCTAGCTCATGTGAGGCTTTGGGTCTGATCTGCAACAATATAAAAATGAAAACAAAGTTGTCCAAAAAGTATAGCCATGGAAAGACATACCATGCAGTTAGTCAAGAAAAAATGGGATCTCCAAGGGCAGTGGGGCGCTCCTTTAAAATATGAGGCCAGCCTGAGTAACTGAGCAAGACCCTATCTCAGAGTGAAAAATACAAAGGGGTGTAGTGTAGCTCAGTGGTACGGCACCCTGGAGTTTGATCCCCAGTACCACAAAAAACATATATGAGAGGTATATAAATACATGTTTTTGCGTAATACATGAGGGAGATCTACAGGTACTGAGACAGAAGGCAATAGCATAACTTCAGCTGAAAAAAATAAAAGCAAGGAATGAGTATTTATCATGACCTTGTATTTGTGAAACGTATATAAGTTTATGCATGTATATGCGGTAATGTTTAATATCCATGTATTTACACATGAGTATCTGTGCACAGAGAAATAGAATAATCGATTCTGAATTTTGGAGAAACACTAGAATCACCTGAAGAGCTTTTTCCAGTCCTGGAGCTTGCACTCAGGGCCTTTCCGCTCAGTTACATCCTCAGCCCTTGCAGTTTTATTTTATTTTATTTTATTTTTTTGGTACTGGAGATTGAACTCAGGTCCTTGTGCTTGCGAAGCAGGTGACAGAACCATTAAGCTAAGTCCCTGGCCCTTCAGTCCTTCTAATTTTGAGACAGGGTCTCACTAAGTCACTAAATTGCCCAGGCTGGGCTTGAACTTATGGTCCTCCCGTCTCAACCTCTAAGAGGGCTGGGGTTGCAGGCCTGTGGCACTGTGCCCCACCTGACACCCAGGCCACCTCTCCAAACTGGGACCCTCTCTGGGGATGGGACCCAGCAGCAACTCCTTAAGGCCCCCAAGGGCACCGCAAGGGGCAGCAGAGGCCAAGGTGCAGGTCCAGTGGGACCTACCCACTTCATTTTGCGAGCAGATTCTCTATTGTTTTAACTTTTACACCAAGCATTGTTCGTATATTTAGAGTGAGCAGGAGAAGCAATAAAGAAAGGGATTGGAGGCTGGGGTTTAGCTCAGTGGTTCCAGCACCTGCTTTGCAAGCACCAAGACCTGAGTTCCATCCCAGGTACAAAAACAAAACAAAACAAAAAAAGAAAGGATTTGGACGCAGGAACTCCTGGCCTGGGTGGGTAGCAGCTGTCAGTGTGTCCCCTGTACCTACCTCAGGGGGCCTGCTGTACAGGGTCACAGGACCCTCACTAAAGCCATTTGGCTTTTCCAGCACCACCTGTTCAAAGAAAAACAACAGTTAAAACAATTTAACCAAGCAACCAACATCAAAACATTGTATTCCTAAAGCTTCTATTCTTAGTGAAAGCGGGAGGGAGGAGACAGGGAAGGCAGTGGGAAGGAGAGAGGAAGATGAAAAGCAGAAGGGAGCGAGGGAAGAAGGGAAAAGGGAGAGTTCTCCAGGGCTCCACGGGAAAGAAAACTAGAGGGGCTGGAAATCGGCTTCAAAAGATAATTCTCTAACCCTGTGGGGAGAGAGAGAAAGAAACCTCAGGCTACAACTTACAGCAGACTGGAAAATATGTGAGGCCCATTCCTCCCAGGGATGCAAGCAGCTGCTTGCCAGGGTTTCTCTTGCCCATGGGGATCCTGACAGGGTTCCATGAGGCGTAAATCAAAAAGGGAAGCAGCTTCTGCTGTAATTATTTCCATCTCAGAGCCTGATCGTTCAACACATGAATGCTGCTCAGTTCAAGAACCTGGCCTGGCGGGGCGGGCTGATCTCCAGCACCGACGAGGCACCTCCCTTCCACCGGAGCACAGCCCTCCCAGCTGGCCAGAGGGGAGAACCAACGCCCCAGATCCTGCTCCAGCCAAAGTGAAATGAATCCGGGAAAGAGAAGCCGCCACAGAAGGCCGGTGCACGCATGCGCAACCACGGAGAGGAGACCCTGGGGCCACAGCTCCCCGCTGGGGGTCACAGCTGCGCCCTGCAGCACCGGGACAGGGGCCGCTGGGGAGAGACCAGCCCGCCCACAACAAAATGCAAAGGAAGCAGCCGCCGCTCAGAACTCAGAACGCTACAGGATGGCAGCCAATGACCAAGGGCCAGCGCCACTCTCCTGAGGACGTTCCCAGCCTCGACTTCTGGAAAAGCTAAAAAGCAGGATGTAGGTGGCTCATCTCCGTTAAGGTTTATCCAATCTGTTTCTCCTCACGTTCACTGGTTTCTTCTGTATCCTACAGCCTGGGCCAGGCACGGGAACACAGGGACAAAGTGGTGAACCTCTAGCTCAAGGATTTTCTCAAGTCAGAGTAGAGATAGCTATATTCACAATGAACACCAGGTGAGGACTGAGGCTTCGGCTTACAGGAGCAGGTTACCTAAATTTAGCAAGATCAGTTTAAGAGAAGCCTGGATCTAGAGGTGGTTTCCTGCTTTTATGTGGCTGCATTACTAGACCACTGCTCACAAAATCCTTACAGATAAAAGGTTTCGCTGGGCGTGGTTTCACAGCACTTGGGAGACTGAGGCAGGAGGAATGCTATGAGTTTGAGGCCAACCTGGGCTAGTAAGTTCAAGGCCAGCCTGGAATACATAGTGAGTCCCTGTCTCAACAAAACAAAACAAAAAAGTTTGCCAATGACTTAAAATAAATTTACATAAATTCGATCTGGGGCAGCGTTCCAGAAGCAGGTGCACTCACACACAGGCTGGCGGGTGGAAATGCAAGCCTGCACCCGCTGGGCGCCCAGCCCGGTTCCGGGCTCCAGGAGACGCCAGCGCCCCCACACCCTCGCCCCTCCCGGCACGGTGCTGGGTCCCACGCCATTCCCTGTCACCTGGAGCTCCTGCCGATGGAGAGAGCCTGCTGGATCCCTGTCCAGCTCGTTGCTTATATCTTCCCGGAGCTTCTGCAGGCAGCTCCTGGCCTTCGAGGAGAGGACAATGAGGTCTGAGTTCCAGGGAACAACCTCTGAGCACCATCCCCACCCCTAGCCCAGGCCACCACGAGGCTAGCGCTGCTCTGAGGACTGGCTGCACGGTCGGGTGAGGCAAGGGCCCGGCTGCTCCTACGCAAGCGACAAAATAAATGAACCCCCGCACCGGCTGCACTGACATTCTAGCCGGGGAGACGCCCAGCACAAAGGACAAAGGGTAAGACATGACACGTCATATGGGAAGAAATGCTGAGGAGGAACGTAAGCCGGGAGGGCTGGGCAACACGGGGACAAGTGGCTGACAATACAGTATTAGGTGCAAGGCTGGGGGAGCTTGGCAGCTGGTACTTAATAAGCGCTCAATTAATAGGCTGGATTCAAAGGTTCAAAAAATGAGCTAGGACACATGACAGGGCATGGCAGCACTTCAATGTTATAAAAAATGAAGGGGAAAAGAATCTATGAAAGAAGGAACCCCCAAAATATAACGTTTGGAGCAATGGCCCAGGGAGGAGCGCCCACCTCCTGGATGTACTGGACCTCACTCTTGAGCTGGTTGATATTCTTCTCATGGATCATCTTGTCTCCTGACCTCCCCTTCAAGTACACCTGAGATGGGGAAAGCGGCACTGGTTAGTTAAGAACCTCAGGGGAAGGAAATTCACAGAAACACGCAGCCTCATACACTGGTGGGAGGAAGGAACAGTCGTTACCAGTCGACTGGTCAGCAATTCAGTGACTCAGATCAGGAGAGTTGAAAATAATACACAGTGCATTTACTAGTGGGCTTGTTAAGTCTACCTCTGGAAATTTATTCTCATGCAAAACATTTAGCTAAATGATATATAACTGTTGGCATAAACACACACACACACACACACACACACACACACACACA